TGCCTTGAACGATCGTAGACAAATATGGCTAGAACGAAATACGTTCAAATAAATTCCTTCATTATCAAATATTCATTACAAATTGTGAGATACAAAATACTAAATGCTCTATAAGCTACAATTGAGAGCAAATTAATTTCTCGGTCGATTGCCAAGCAAAAGGGTGGCCGGCCTTGGTTGCCGTCCTGATTGCACTACTGCAAGGGTAGACAGAGAGGCCGAAAAGCACTCTCAACAAGCAAAAAGGAAAAAAAAAAATCCTCAAATCGCCTACCTAATCGCATTACTACAATAACGGGTAAGGAGACTGAGAAGCACTCTCAGCAAGCAAAGTGGCTTAAAAAGCATCCTCAAAAATTGTCTTCCATCATTGAACTCCTTATAAAGAACATGGAGACGATGGGAAGAACTTTGCTGGTCAAAGAATATTTCCTACATCTCCCATACCAAAAGTGACATCAAAATAGATAGCAAAATGGGCGGATCAAATGATCTATTTCTATGGAAGACGAAAATTTTGAATCAATTGTTGAGATGTCAAATAATGGCAGCAAATTAGTTTTTGAGAAAAAGAATGGAAATGAAAATGATGAGTGCGAAATACACACGCATTTATAGAGGCGTGAAGGTGAAAATACAGAATATGAATGGCCAAATTCGTGCCTAATGACTGAAATCAAATGACCCTAAGTCTTGGAAAAAGAGACGAAAATACCAAGGAAGAATGTACATGAATCTTAGTATAAAGCAATTGAATGCTTGGGAGGTTGACGATTAAGGACAACATCAATTAATATGCAAGTAGACAAATTAGTCGTTCATTAATGACGATAACTGCTGTTACATTCAAAATTAGCAATGGCAATTAGTGCGAAGTTACAAAAGGAAAGTTAGTACGAAATTACAAAAGGAAAGTTAAGGCATTGGATGTCTTAATTACAATTCACCCCAGGTCGAACGAATTCTTTCCCTAAGTCTCCCCCAATCTTCGCTCTGTTGAGAAAAAGCAACATTTAATTCAACTACAAAATCGTCATCAACCTCCAGCTTTTTGTACTACTCAACCAAAGACTTGGTTCGTTCAATTCCTTGGGAAGCATTACGCTTTTTAGCAGTCATTCTCGCCCTACAGTTGTCCATCTTTGCTTGAAACTCCTTCATCTCTACAGTCAAACTTGTCATCATAGAGTCTTCGATCATAACGTCAGAAGAGATTTCTTTCAATTCGTCCTCGGCTTTGTTAATCTCTAGAAGCAAAGACTCTCTTTCAGATGCAGCACGAAGATATTGAGTACTCCTGACCTTCAATTCAACATTTTTGGCTAGCAAGAAGAGGATGTCAGAGTAAACAATCTTCAACGTCGCTTAAAAGTCGGCAGAAACATTGAGCGACGGAAGTGTAAGTGCTTGCGCCAATTTCGCACTCAATAGCTCAAGCTTATCCTTATGTTTAGTAGCACTAGCCTGGACGATATCCATGTCCATAAAAGACACATACTCAAGTACCGACTGCTTGAAAAACTTCATATTTTCCTCTGAAAATGCAGAAGGGTGACTGGTTGAAATAGGGCGAGACGTAAACAAGTCCTAGATGGAACGCACAATGTCATCAGCACCCTGCAAAGAAAAATGCCAACATTGAGGACTTTCACTACAATAAATAAAGCGAAAATGAAAGTGAAGCAAAAGGTTGCCTCATCGGCAATCTTGGGAAGTTCAAGCATATCACCAGTTGGCTCCACCACCTATGGGGACTTTCCTTATCTGGGCGAGAAAACTCTGCCACAACGGGCAGGCCCATGGGAGCCTCTACATAATTCAAGAAGCAACGAATCAGAAAACAGTAGCACAAGTAAAGGTAAAACATCAAAATATGTATTACTTTCTGGTTCGACGTTTGGGGGGTCGGCGCCCTGGGAAGAAGGTGGCCCTTCTACTGGTTGTGATGAAGGTTCCGGAACTAAGGGTTTCTCTTTAAGCATAATCCCTTCATCAGCTGATTTGGACGAAGTAGCTTCAGCAGAAGATGATGGAGCAGGAGCTGCCAAAACCAAAGCCTTCGAAGGAGAGGCTAAACTTTTCTGAGAAATTCAGGTAAACCATTAGTACATAGAAAAGTATGTTTGTGAATAAACAAATTCAATTACCTTTCTCCTAAGGATGAGAGGAGCGTCGTCATCATCATCATCATCATTATCATCTTGCAAAATGGGAGATGCTGAAACTTACCGATTGCGGGTTAATGCACCTTTAGCTACAGTAGTCTTGGCAGGTAGAGAAGCAGATGGATGGATAGAATGTTTAGAGCGAGCAGGAGAGGAAGGATTCCTAATGGACACAGGGGTGACCAAAATAGGAGAAGTAGAGGAAGTGCCTGGCTGGTCCAGTAAATGGAAGGCACGATCAGCATCAGTTGCAAACAATCGACGTTTTACTGATGGCCAAAGCTGTTCGAAAAGAGGATGGACAACACAGCTAGAATTGAAAGGGGCTAATGAAAATTTGCTCGTCAAAAGAATGTTGCGAGCATCTATAGCTTGTGCCTCTGCCCTATTAATAGTGTAAAAATGGTCTGTCAAATTTTTGAAGTAACAAGGAGGAACAGGCCAAGTTTGGCCAAAACTAAGTTGGCGAGCAAAAAATTGGGGAGAATATATTTCAACCCCAGCTTTGGCATTGGTTCCAGTTAAAATATCGTGGAACAAATCCCTCCTAATCAAAAACTGAACCCAAACAAGCAGAGAGGCACTCGCACTGTCTAAAGTAGATGGAGGTTGCACATAATCTGTAGTCAAGTGAGTAGGAAAATGAAAGAAGGAAGGAATCGAATTTAAGGTATAAAAGAATGAAAAAAGTCCCTGCTGGACATATTTACAGGGTTCAGTGGATTAATGACTGGCCCATAGCATCTAGCAGAACGAAGGGAAATGGATGGAGCACTAAGTGGTGGAAAGTATGCTCTCAACCACAGTTGAGTGAACCAAAGGGGCCCATTGCCAGTGGGAGATGCACTATTATTCAGTTGAAATTGAAGGGAAGTCGTGCCTCTATAAAGCGCAGCTAAAAAGAAGGAACTTAAGTTCAAAGGCCTACCACGTACCAATTCATGCGCTATGGGTAAGTAGCTCGTAGAAGGTTTCATACTTGGCACGCAGAGAATATATTTACAGAACCAAATCTGAAAAAATGCCACACGCTCAGTATGGGAAGGTTCAACGCTTGAGTGATTATAAAAGCCTTGCAGGCTTGAATAGCACTCAGTAAGTTTCTTGTCAAATTTCGAGGCAACACTGGAAATCAAGATACCAGGAAAGATGGTATCACCCAAAGGCGGAAGATTTACTAGAGCTCCAACGTCCCTTAAAGTAATAGACATGGGACCAAAAGAGAAAATGAAGGTATTATATTCAGAAGACCAAAAACTCAAAGCAATAGGAAAAAGCATTGTGTCGAAAATTGGGGGTTGAAGAGTCATTTCTAATAAGTCTGAAATCCTAGCACGATCAAAAATCGCCTTGGTAGGGTCATGATTCACAAGACATGCATGCCATCTACGAAAAATAACATCAACTTTGGGCCAAGTGCGAATACCTTTTTCGCGAATCGGCCTCAATGGCAGAGAGTTCAGGAACGAAGGACCTTGAGTGCAAGGGAACAGCTGGCCCACTGCCACTTGTCCAACGGTTTCAGCATTATTGAACGATGGACCCAGATAGAATTCATTGAGGTCAGCATTAGCTTGTGCAAGGAAGTTTGGATTTACATACGGCCTAGTAAGGATTTTCTGGAAATCTTCGAAACTAAAAGAATCATCAAATTAAGTTTGTAAAGTCATCATTGAAAACAAAGTACAGTTTTGTTAAACTTTGCCAGAGAAATATAACAGAGAAGCAAGAAGATGAACAGTAAAATAGCGAGGAGGAAGCACGAAATATAGAGACGTGGTTTAGTGGTGCGATGAAATGGCGTGTCTTTTGGGTTTATAAGGATTTGTAACGCTGCACCTTTTTCAAGCTGTAGAAGGAAATAATGATTGAAATTCTTGGAAATTTCAAATATTGCTGGAATATTAATAATTGGTATTAATTCTGCCATATTGGAAGTAATTGTTGACATACTAAAAGTACAGCCCAAATCAAATAGCCCAAAAAGTGAAACCCAATTAGGGAATCCAGAATAAAGGTCCAAACAGGATTATTGATGAATGCGGTGGAAGCCCACGAACACGATAACATCATCGCCCAAGCTTGTATTTTGGGCGAATGGACTACCTTACGGTCACCCAGAGCGATAACTCCGTTCTCGCCCAAACCTTTGAATGGCTCAGGATCTTAGCAAGCATAAAATATTATGGTTATCCATAATAGCAATTATTGAAGCAGTTATTAAGTTATCTTGTCACATCCCACGATTCAAGGAGCCCAGTTAAAAGCTATCGAACGACAAAGAGTAATGACAACAGTTAAAGACGACAGTTCTACGACAAGTTAGCCACCATAAAGAAAGTAGATAGTTATAAAACAATCAAACAGTTTCCAAGCGGTTTGTCACGAATAAATCATCAATGAATATAAAATGAAGAGAAAACATAGATACAAGACGCCCGAATCAAACACTCTCCAACGGAGAATATGTAACTTTAATTTCTTAATTTAAATTTAAACACTTCTTTTAGTACTCGTATGCTTACGTCCCTTAGAGACATTCTGTTTATTTCCAATTGTAAATCATAGCCAATAAAACACCTCTTTTTGAGACTTTATTTCTAAAGGTCTATTCCTTACACAATCGTCTGACCCCTTTTTTAATTGTTAGCGACTATCCGCGCGAAACACCTTCCCCGAGGAGATTTTTCGTCACATCACTAAACAATATTGAAGAATAAAGTAGACTAATATTCACTACTGCATGTCAAACATGTCCGTTAGATTTCCGCGTCATTTGTCCCGGTCCATTCTCAAACCATAGGAAGAACAAGCCACGTGATGTACAGTGTAGTAAAGAATGCAATTTCTCCCCAAAAATAATGAACATGTAAAAATATACGAGCAGTGTTCCATTCCGAAAATCTCCCTAAACCCAGACATTATTTATGTGACGTCTGGAGACCACGTGCATGTATGTCCATAGACAATTTAGGACGCATCACAACCCAAAAAATTTCAAAAAAAAAGGGTCATCAAATGCCTACTAAATTACATAATGAATACTGCATGAATTTACCCTCCATCTAAACCAAGTAGAGGGGTTGCTAGCAAATTTACCTTGTTTACTTTGACATGAGACTCTAATCCGTATAAAAATGGTACAACTGCAAAAAGAAGCGCACCGAGAACAGGTATCTTCTGATGTAGAAGAATCGTTCATGAGACTTGACTCATTCGAACCCACAATCAGGAAAAAATGGGCATCAAATTGAGTTCCCTGCATCGGATGAGCTCATCTTTGGGAACTGCAATGCACACCGCGACCTGAATGACCATGTAGACAAAACCCAACCGAAACTCCAAAACTTGCAACAACTCTTGGTGTTCTGTGCCATTATTAGAATAAACCAAAGAACACAGACAGACTGCAAAGCCAGACTTATTCTAGCAATCAAGCAATCTGAAATCATGAAGCAGCGGATGCAGCCTTCTCCAGTTTTAGTTTTTCAATCTCGGCTCTTCTCTGCTCAGCGTGATGAGCAACGCCATTTGCAAGCCCTTGATAACGGAAATCGAGTCTCTGTGTGAGGTTCTGAAACCTCAATGGATCGGATGCTTGCAAAGCTAAACAAGAAACAAGGTGTGCAGATGAGAAAATAGCTCGAAGGTAAGAAAATGAGTGTCGGTAAGAAGTAGCAAAAGGTGCCAGCATTTTACCTTTAATAATATCTACAAAGAAAACAAAAGGGTCAACATCATCAATGGGTGATTGCAACTCTTCATCATCACTAAAATCGTCATCCGTTTCATCATCTGACTCAGTCGGGCGGAATGACTTAGCCTGCAACTCCAACTATTAGCTGTGGTCGAAAATTTTTAACACAACACAATCATTTCTGACAAAAAGTTGAAAAAGCAGACAATCAAATGCATACATATGCACGATAACATCAAACAGAAAATCTAACATTCTTAAGTCGCTTCTATTTAACGCCTAACTCCATTTTAATTAAAGCTTGGCAGTATTAATAGCCTTAAGGTAAGAATAGACAAAATAGTCGCTTCTCTCTAGTTTTTTGGTATATTTTGCTTATTTCAGGAATAAACTGGTTGATTTCTTTTACCTGAATAACCAGATATAATTTGCATCCTCTCTTTAATAAGATCGTAGAATAATTTCATTTAAGTAAAACCCACCCGAGATGCCAATTTTTCAAGTTTAAGGCTGTCAGCTTCATCCTCATCATCAACCCCCATTTCTTTGTCAAACTCATCACCTTCCTCATCCTCATCGTCGCTTAGAAAATTATCCATATCGTTTTCATCTTCAGCCCCTTTTGCAGCCTCTGCATACACAAAAAAAATTAATAATAATAATATAATAAATAAGCACATAAGAGAACATAAGATGCAAGAATGAGCAACTGGGTAATGTGTATAGGCATTCATTTTGGTAAAATAACAGAAAATTAGCAAGAGATTAAGGTGAATAAATGAAACAACCTGCTACTTGATCCTTATAGGCAACAAGCAGGTCAAGAGTAGACTTGAAAACACGCTCCAACGCCTCTCCTGGCAACTGATCGGCAGGGAGAGAGATCAATGACGTTAAGCCCAAGCAGCAAACCTTTTTATCTTGTTCCCTGCAACATCGACATGACATGAATCCTTAAGCAAGCCTCTCTGGCAGGAGATGGAGGGAAAATAGAAAGAAACCTGAAGAAGTGCATACTTTTTAAAATTAGCCCGTGCTCCACTTTTTTTAGTCTGTTCCAACATTTGGAACCAAAGATTAAACACTTCTGTTGCAATGTTAAGCTTTTGCAGAACATTGAGCGCTAAGCGTGCATTATAATACAGAGCATCAGCAACCTGAAGAAAGGAATTGATCATGAAATGGTCAGGCCTCATTTTTCAATGCTTGACAAGCAATCTCTCTCTATTAATGACCCTGACAACTAAAAGAATGAAAAATGAAGCAAACAAGTAGCCATCAATGATGGCAGCTACACACTCAGTTAATGAATGCACCTAGTTAGTGAACTTTGCAACGATATGTTAAAAGTATTCAGTGTGGGCAGTACAAAAAACTATGGTAAACCTATAGTGCGTGAAGATTCTTTGAAAACAATCTCACTGGAACGAAAAATAGCATATCCTATATTTTGAAAATCACAATTAATATTGAGCCAGATATAAAAACAACGCAATAGAAAGGGGGAAAAGGAATTATTTATTGCTGCCACAGCCTAAACCACAAAGTGGTCGACCATCTCCCAGTTGAAAGGTAGCCTTTCACCAGCAGTCTATCCCATCATGATTCACGCTGAACTATATTACATTTTAATAAATAAAATCACCTTAATCAGATGTGAATGCAAAAATGAACAAGAAAGTCCAAAGACATCTAGCAGAACTCTACAGCTAAAACAAATTGACTCCCTGAATCCCGTCACACTCAAGCACGTACACAGAGAGAAAACAAGAATGAAGAAATGAAAAAACTATCCTAAAAAGGTATAATCAGGAGGGTAGAACAATTCTAAAGATGGGAACATATATGAATAAATACCTTCTAAATTCCTTCGCCGTGTGTTGCTCAGTCATAATAGTAGTAGTAGTAAAAGAATGAAGAGAAAGGTAAATTGGCATGCTACCCGTGTGTCATGCTACCATGTGTCCACACAACATTAAGTTCAAGTTGATGATGACCAAAACGAAATCAAATATGTTTCCGAAGAGAGTAGAGCTTAAATGCTAATAGTTTTTTAATGAGATAAAATATACCCCATTTCCAAACAGTATCACACTTATTATTAGGATGCGATCCTTGACAGACTAGAAAATGTTTCACAGAGAAAAATCAAAATTTCTTACCACTTCCATCAAGAGACACTTGAGATAAGGTTTCTCTGTGCGACGCAGTCGCTCCACAGTGATTCTAATGTAAGGCTCAACCCAGTGATCAACCTGCCCCCTACAGTTCTGAAATACCACTTGAATGAGTTTAGGTGCCGGCTCAATATCACCATCCTCCAAATTTTTATCGCCCATTATCTACAAGATTTTAAAAATATATGAAATTAAATTTAAAAACCATTATCTATCTTCTTTTCACATACTTGGTCAGAGGCTATTCTTTGGTAAAGATGGAATAAACTCACAAATGAAATCATGTTCCAAAGGCTCTGCTGGTAGTCTGGTTCCTTGCATGTGAGAAAGTGCACTGTGCTTCTAGATATATAGTTATCTAATGGCACCAATATATCTGTGAAAAATCCACAAGAACCATGGGGACATGAGAAGTTCATAAAAGCTGTTTCAATAAGTCACTACCAATTAGCCCCTAATAATACAGGAAAAGAATTTTTAAGTAAAAAAATTAACTTCGATTTCCATGAAAAAATAGTGATAAAAATGTTTCAGACCACTGAAGGTAATTCAAACATAAAAAGATGCTCCAAAGAGAACGGACACATGAAGAAAAGCGTAAGATTGAGTTAAATACATTAGCAAGTACTTTTTTTTAAGGAACTTGAGGCTTCCTACTTGTGGCCCACCTTGCAAGAGCCTTTTATTGAGAACTTGAAAATTTACTCATCATCTTACTGAAGCATACCCCCTCAAAGAATAATCCTATTAGCTGGTAAGGTGTTCACTTAAGTGCGTGGCCTTCTCCAGGTTTTTCGTTATTACTTCGGCTTTTAGATTGTTTCTACAGCCTAGAATGTTTTAAAGGTTTCCTAGGGTAATTTAAACACAAATCAGCGATAAAAATTTGAAAAGAAAGAATTGGGGACGAGACTAGAGCAAGCGACTCAAGCAGCCCTAGCCCCATACAACTGAAATGCAATAAACTCCTCTCCAAAGTGAAGTTGCAATTTTCAGTGGCAGACAGTCAGAGATAAGGCACCTACAACACATAACTTCCCTTTTTTCTTTCTATAGTTTCCTTTCTTGTCTCTGTATTTTGGTTTTCCTTGTCTCCATATTTTCTTGTTTGCTAGGCGTTCTTCATTTCTTTATGATGTCTACATACGGAAGGGGATTGAAACATTGCAAGCGGAAGAAGAGGAAAAAGACTGCGAAGAAACTTGATAAAGTGGAGTTATATTTGACCCTTCTAGAGTAAGCAAATTACAACCACCTAAGTTCACATATTATGGCTTAATAAAACTGCTAATTAATAGCACAAAATAAGTTACTCAAAATTACCAAAAGTAGAAAACTACAATACACAGACGATACTAACAAAATTGATACTAACAAGAATAGAATAATCAAATGTACCGACCATTCTCCTAAAAAGAGATTCTATGAGTAGTGTATAAAAGACTTTTAGAGATTTTTAGTTCTAGATAGAGAAGCAGTTATTTATTACAATTTTGTTATGTCATCTTTAATTTCACGATTTAATATATGCTACTCCGTAGATCTATTTAAAGTTAGCAAGTTAAACTTAATTTTGTAAATTGTTTTGTTATGAATCTTCGAGATGGTTCATGGTTTATCATAAGCACAATTTTTATTTTTATTTTTATTTTTATTTTTATTTTTTTACATTTGTTAATTATTTTATTGATTTACATTGAGGTCACACTCTTTCATGTCACATAGGTACTTAATAGAGCATTTTATACACTGGAACAAGTACACAGGAAACAACAAACTTTAGAAGATATTGGTAAACATACCAAAACATTATATGCATATAAAAAAATGACTAATGGGAAAGGACTTGGAAGGAAATTATTACTTTACTAGACAGAAATGTCAGTTCGTAGGCGACCAACAATCAGCACTAGGAATCATATATAATCAATAAGATTACTTTTAAAAATTGCTCCTTCCGAACGGCAGAAGTAAATAACAAGAAATCAGAATTTTCCTTTTTAATAAATGATTTTACCCATTAAAAAGCCTATGCACACACTGTTATTAATAGAACTTAAACTAACTCAGAAACCAAGCATGATTCCTTCAGTCAATCAACAGGTTTGGAAAACTAGTTCACAGATAAATTAATCTGAAGGAAACAATAATAAAACTTATGGAGTACTTGCAGAGGTACATACTTTGAAAGAAATCAATTGCCCAATCAGCCAAAGCTTCCATCATCAACGGCCAAAGACTCCACATGTCCATGGATATTGTTGGGGAGAAAAATGTCATATATGACACTATCTCCAAAACTTCCTCATAGACCTCTGCAAAATCATGCATTTTTAAGAAGGGATCCATAAAAATTCATCCAACAACAGAATTTTCCAACAAGCTATATGACTTTTTGTGTTACATTAATCCCTTTAAGACGAATACATTCCCTTCATTACCCGCACCCAAGGAAAATCTCTCCCAAGTTTTCATTAGGATGAGAAACATTCTAAGTCAATGTGAAGATATCTTGATTCATTTCCGGGTACAATAGTAGTTCAACTGAAAGCAACTATACATCTGTGTTGGACAAATTAATAGCCACCACTTATATTTGAAACAATGAAGTAAGTATCTTTCATTTCACATCGTCCTTTTTATGAGAACTCAATACTTGCATCTTTGTTATGTAACTCATAGGGGAAATTGAATGTAGGGTAGATGGTATAAATCATATGGTATCAATAATGTCCTCAACAAGATGATTAGTAATGTCAAAAAGGAGAAGTACCTTGTCCATCACTTGTCAGCATCCTACGCATTATAGGAAGTAGAGTTGGTTCAATGTGTACAAATAGATGAGGGAGCCTGCTGACTGACTCAAGGATTGTGCTTATTGCACGCAAACAACCAACAGCTGCTAAAGCACCAGGATCATCACCTTCTTCATCTGCTTCAGCAGTGTTCATACACTTCCAAAATGCATCAGCCTATAAATCATACATGATTCAGTGGATAGGACAGATTCAGGAAAAAAAAGGGTTTTCAGAAGATTAACAATCCTGGTCTCACCAAATTCTGGCATAATCCAAGAGCATAAGGAGCCATTTCTTCTCCAAACTTGTCCACTATTGTCTCAAGAGTAAATACAAGATCTTCATTCTCAACTTCATTCATAAGTTTGAAGAACTCTAAATAGGATTTCAGAACGAAAGTATATTCAATAAGAAGGCTGCTGCTTGATAAAGAGTAATAAGAGTATGACTTCGGCAAATTACATACCATCAAGTAACTGGGGAAGAATAGGTCGAATTTCACCCAAATCTGCACAAGAAAATTACGGAGACATTGGATGAGCATCCACTTTCAAGTTACATGGTAGATACAAATTACAAATGATTCCCAGAAAAATGAACCTTCACAGGCTTCAACAAAAGAGCGCAAAGCAAAAACAGAATCAACACGAACAGGAAGTTCTGGATCACGCATCCCGGCAACAACATTGTGCAATGCTTTACGGAAGTTATTTGGATCTGAGAAGTTAACATATGCATATTGCCCTGCAACCCATGCTGCCTAATATCCAAAAGGTTGGAGCAAGAAGGGCACAAAAGTGTAAGCTCATAACTCAAGAAAGACGTATGAAACAAGGAACTCAAGTATACATACGGAAAAAGAAATCTGTGTCTAGCAAAATGCTTCACTGATATACGGTAGCAGAAAGGTTTGGCAAGTAATATAGCACTCCAACGGGTAATCAAATAAGAGATTGAAGCAATATGAAGTAACACACCTTGGCTCTAAGATGCCCCACAGGACTGCTGAATTCAGGGAACACATGCTGAAAAAGCATACGCTCAAGCTCCGACTTGTAAGGCTCGGTCTGCTTCAATTTATCACACAATGCACCAATAGCTAGAAGGGCACCATCCTTTTGCCTATAGGGCTTGTATTCAACTGGTGCCTCATCATATCTATAGGTAGAGAAAAGGAGGTTGATCATCGTTCAGAGATCTCATGGTATGAAAACTGACGTAAAGGATTCACTGGGTGACATGTACCTCTTAAAAATCTCCACAATGAATAATATGAATTTTTGAAGATTCTCTTTCCCACGCCTTCTAACCAACTCACTCACAAAATCCATCGCAGCAGTCCTAGGACTATATAAGTCCTCAATTATATCTGTAGCAACATAATAAGTAGATGAAATACTCAACACAGTTTGGGATGACGAAGCACCAGAAATATCACTAAGTTCAATCAAAAACCAAAAGCTGAGACACACCATATCCCTTCCTCACATACTCATGTGGATCTTCATCCCAGAGCTTTTGATCATTGTCATTGAAGCACATGAGTGGAAAGATGATCTCAAACAGAACAACATCAAGACCTGGTTGTAGCTGACTGTACATATTATTTTTTGAGACACTGTATGATAGATAAAACTGAATCAGACCAAGAGCATTGGCTAAATGTCACAATCAAATCATCATACTTGAAGCAGTACAAATATCATTATCGAAAATGGAGCTGATGCAGCCAGAGGTGGCTTTCAAAAGAAGATTCAACGGAAACATGGTATTACACATAAGATATGACATCAACAGTCCTTCAGCAGAATGTCCAATCTCGAAAAAGATTTGAATTTTCTATCATTTGCAGAATGTTCAAAATCATCCTCTCCTACTATATCCTAACAACAAGAACATTTCCCTCCCATAAGTCACAGAATAAATGTCTAATTCGAGAAGAGGGAAAGAGGACAGCACTAACTTACAGATGTGCATACTGCTAGACTCTTTCGCTACCAAAATATTAATGTTACAATGGATAAAATGGAAATTTATTTTATAGTAGGTTTTTGGTGCATGCATACAAGTTTTATGCAGAACGTCAAAAGGTTACATCTTATTTCAGATGATACATCTGCAAAAGGATTTTTTTCTCCATTAAGCCCCCAGTTTGGTTTAGCTAAAAAAGTTGATAGAAATCTTGATGCAGGATAGAATAAGAAAACAGCAAGAAAGAGGGAGAGAACCAAGAGAATGGAGGGAGAAACTGAAAAAGAAGGAGAAATTCAAGGGGAGGGGGGGAAGAGGAAGGAGACGTCACAATCAATCTCAATTCATCATAATCATCAAACTGTCTCAATTACATGGCAAACTAGGTTTAAATAATAAAACAAAACCCTAAAGAGAAAGGGTCCAAGCCCACTAAATAATAGTCCAAATAAATAAATAAATAAAGAGTCCAACTAAATAAAAATAAATCTAGGTAGATGTCCTCATCAACTCTCCCGAATTGGGAGAAAACTCAACGGGGTCGAGTTGTTAAATCCCAAAATACTGTTGTCGATCTGATACCCAAAATGCTTTACGTCATGCTGCGGAGGACAATCTTTCTGACGAACCAAATATCGAAATTCCATGATTGATAGTAATGAAAACTCTTATTCCCAAGAATATGATCTGACCAAGATGAACTGAATAAAGAAAGATCTTGCTAGCTCCTATAAAGCTCCAACGAATTTGGATCATGTTGTTGAAGTCTTTTTCTGGGGATCCATGTACCATCAGAATCAAGTCGATCCACTTAATGAACTAGAAAGCACTGATTTTCTCTATCATTCGACAACACAACCTGATTATCTAAAATAGCATGTATCCTGTCTTTGTGTGCTGTGATAGGTGATATTGGAGTAGATATAGCAAAAGACTCAATGTAGGAATTCCTATGTGGAGGTAGAAAATGATCATAAGAGGGGTTAAAATAGCCTTTGTAAGCAACAAAGTCCTTAACAATTAAAATGGAACGGTGGCCAAAATGTGAGAAAAGATCAATAATACGTGTATTTGAACCAACATGCTTTAAAATTTCATAAGAACCAGCACTACAAGCTTGCAATATAACATAATCCCCAATATTAAATTCAAAATTTCACTTATATAAATCAGCTTGAAGTTCATATAATAGATTACTTGCTTCAAGTTGTTTATTGATCTCAATATGCAAGTTATAAAGATATGATACAACTACCTCAACTGATGTAGACACATTAGCATGTAGGGACATGGGAATGAGGTCTAAAGTTTTCTTAGGTTCATGACCATGGATAACTTCAAAGAGATTCATACTTATAAACCGACTCACAAAATTGTTATATGTAATATTCACTGTTGGGAGGATCAAATCCCAATTCCCAAGATTTTCCTTGAAAATGACATGATTACACAAATCATTAGTACCTTTGAATTAGATAAGAGTGTGACAGACAACATTTGACTGAGACGTATCGAGAATAAGGGGTACAATAACTAGATTCATAGAAAAAGTTTGAATACTATCTAAGGAGGTGTTCTCACTATCATCCAAATCATCAAATTCTTCAAGTTTAGGTTCATAGATTTGATCTTCTAATCGCTCATCTATTATATTCTTCGACCTTCAATGACTAACTTTTGACTAGGACATTTGGGAGAACTGTAACCAAAGTCCTTACAGTTGTAGCATTGCAAGTGAGGGGGAGTCATTAGAGTTTCAAAATCTTGACCCTTATTTTCCAACAAAGGAGAAGCAAGAGATGGGGAAAGTCCTAGAAGGGAGTTAACAGGAGGTGGCATCGATATAGGAGGAACATTAGACGGGGAAGGCTTTATGATAGACGTATGACAGACTTATGACAAGGTGGCGTTGATGAGTGGGTGAATGATGGTGGCTACGCCTTTTATATGGAGCACTAAGAAGTAACTCGTAGTTCCGAGATAAAGAGTAAGCGTGATCAAGAGTAGTGGCATCTCGAAAGAAAAACTCACGCCTAAGTTCATCTCTTAGACCTTGTACAAACCTACTCAAAGTCAGGACCTCATCCTCAACGAAGTGACATTTCATTCGTAATTTCTCAAATTGAGCAATGTACTCAGGTACTAGCTGATTCCCTTATGTAAGGGTGTTGCATTGGGTAAAAATTTCATGATCTAAGCAACTATCGAAAATAGGGGTATCTAATTTAATGTCTCTGAAAAAACGCTCCTTATGACGAGGAAGAGAATGAGTACCATGATGACCACGGTCTCGTTCTCTTTCACGAACCTAATCCCTATTCTTACGATCGTGCTTAAAATTATTCAGACTAGCAACTATATCTCTACTCTTTTCACGAGTGACAGTCATCTCAATTTGGACAGCCGCTAATTGAGTTTGTAGGTACTACTGGCTAGTGGCAAGTTGCGCCAATTGTCTAGTGAGTGCATTAAATTCGGATGGATTCATGGTCAATGTATTGGAAATAGAGGAGACAAGACAACCACTACGCAACTGCATGCAATGTATTACTAGCTAAATGACGTACAATGATGAGATCAATGAACAATAAGTGCAAACAATGGAAGATCACAACTTGAACCTTTTTTTTTAAATTTTGGGATTAAATAAATCCAAAGCAAGCTAATATTGCTAGTACATGTAAAATAACAAAGCGATGGTCAAACACTAGTCAAAGTCTCCAATCACGTTGATAAGTGGGGAGCAATGGTAAGTCAATTAATTCAATAATTCCGATCAAGTGGGATTTAAGGCTAAAATTATAAAGGTAACAACAACACAAAGAATTTAAATAATGCAATTTTAAAATGTAGTAGTAGTGTAAACCAAGGATGGATAAAAACAGTAACTCCATGTAGTTCGGTACGCTTGGGACCCAAGTATGCTTCTGTTCTATCCCTCGTTGCAAGGGTCTTCCACTTCAGAATTCACTCCTGTTGAATTGTGACTTATACTGTTTCGGCACTGGTTCTGTTGTGGTTGGAGGTACGATTACAATAATAACTAATAATCAATTGCACAATAGATCGTGACGGTTGCCATGAGTGTGCCAGCGATAGGCGGTTGCTTTGACTATGATTTGTAAGTGGCAGATGGACAATGCTTTGGCTTTGAAATTAGTAGCGAATGGTTGGGAAGATGATGAATTGGAGACCATGGCTGGCTGTTTGGGACTATGAGCGACTGTTGACTATGATTTACGAGTAGTGTGTCGAGTGGTGTGTTGGTGGCCGTTACAGAAGGCAATTTTGGACTGTGGATAGTAGTGATGGTGGTTTTGTTAAGATGGCAGTAAGCTTATGTTGTCATTGCCGATATTGATGTTGATTATGTAGAAACTAAGTGTGATTTATTGAAGGATGTTGGTGGTGGTATGTCGTGATGAGCTGAAGTCGATGAATCGACGGTGGTTTGGTGAAGATGTGAGGCACATTTGGGTACAATAGATAACTTAGTGGTGGTGGTCGACGACGACTAGGGCGAAAAGAAACCGAGATGGTGTGGTAACGACGATTGGCGATGGGTGTGGTCGATTAATGGGTGGACAATTCCAATTGGCGATAGGCAGCTTGTGGCGGAGTAAAGGCGGTGGTAGGCGGCGGCAATGGAGGGGGTGGGTGCCGGAACTAGAGGTAGTGATGTGGTGTCGACGGCGTAGCTGGGTTTGATGTGATGACCAATGTTTTGAATTGAAAACAGGACCGGACCAGCCGGTTCAACCAGAAAAATCGGAAACCGGCCTCAAATCCGGTCCGGCACTAATAAATTAACCGAAAATTAAAAAGCCAGTAAATAACCGGTCGAACAGGCCATTTTAGAAGGAAACCGAAAAATCGATCATGGTTTTTACCGATTTTTTTTTAAATAATAATAAAATTATAATTACTTTGACAAATGAGCTCAAGCATTGCCAATTTTACCTTCCTTCCAATACAAGTGTTGTTTTTAAAAGAGAAGACACAAGCAATGTTTTCCTCAACTTCCAATGTAGGATAAGTACAAGTGTTGTTTTTAAAAGAGGAGACATGCAATGTTTTTCTCAACTTCCAATGTGGGATAAGTTGTAAAATCCTTTGCAATTTATATATTTAATAATTATTCAATTTTTTCTTTCTATTAAACAAATATTGGCCCCAAAAGCACAAATAATTTCAATTTTAACAAAGCAAATTTTAGACACAACAATTGTTAGTTTTTGATGTTTTAAAATAAATTATAGGATAATAAATCTTTAAATCTAATTGACAAATATTGATTTATATTTACTTTGAATCAGTAATACTACAATTTAAAAATTTGTTATTGTTATAATATTTTAGAGTTTGTTGAAATATTTATTTATTTAATTTTGATATCTGGTTTGACCCCGGGTGGACCCCGGTTCGACCATTTGACATTGGCCCTTTTTCTTTTCCGAGTCGATGTCCGAATCAGTTTTTAAAACATTGGTTATGACGATCTCGCAAATGGTAGAGGTATATGGGCTACTTTGGGTTTAATTATGGGCATCGATTATGGGTTGAATTATAGGCTAGAGATGATTTATTGTTTCAGTTGGGCTGCTTTGGGGTTTGGACTTGGAATTTATTGGGTTTGGGCCTGTTGTAATTTGGTTTTGTGAATTGGAGAGATGGGCTAGGGTTTGATAGAGCACATTTAATTCATGTGTCAACAGCAAATCAAATTGAAACGACAGCAAAATCTTTTTTTTCCCTCAGAAACTGATGAGAATGCTAAACTAAAATTTTCGAGTGTGAATAGCACCCGTGAACAGTATGATGAACTTTTTTTTTTCATTTTTTTTTTTTTTTTGCAACTAGAATAGAAAATTGAAGAACATAATTGTTGCCTTTACCACATTCTTTTCATTTGTGTTGTTCCAACGGGAAGAAACTGGGAAGAAATTTTGGGTGAGGAAGAAATTTTGGATTGTAGGAGAAGAATTACCCAAGTTTCGGCTCTGATATCAAATTTGATACAGGATAGAATAAGAAAACGGTAAGAAAGAGGGCAAGAAACCAAAGAAGCAGCAGAAACTCAAGGAAAAAGGGAAAGGAAGAGGAAGGAGACGCCATAACCAATCTCAATTCATCATAATCATCAAACTGTCTCAATTACTTGACAAACTAGGTTTAAATAATAAAACAAAACCCTAAAGAAAAAGGGCCCAAGCCCACTATATGATAGTCCAATTAAAATAAAATAAAAAATAAGAGTCCAACTAAATAAAAATAAATCTAGGTAGATGTCCTCATCAAATCTAAGTCAAAGTCAACAATTAATTTTAACCACACAATTTCATGGGGCCCAAAACTTTTCAACAATACATTTCATCAACTTTTATCAAATCAAAATCTATTAAAAATCTGTTTTTTAGCAAAATCAAAAGGGGCTAAATGTGAAAGATATTCAGTGAGATGCTTTTTTTGTCACATTTAAGCTAAGATACCAAACCACGTTCTAGAAAAAGTCAATGTGAAAGATAATAAATTCAACCATAAGACAAACATGAGATATTAAAACTAATGTAAGATAAAGAACACCAACAGAAGAAAAAACCCTACCACAAACTCTAAGACACCATTTGAAAATATAGGATCTCCTTTAAGTATCACCAAAAAGGGAACGGAGATGGATAAGTAACATATATGGAAAAAGAGATCTCATTGCTATGAATGTGACACACAGTATAGAAATAGTTGACTGGGGTGCGGCTGAAGCTTAATAAAGATAATCAAGTCATTGCAGACAGAAAGAAAAAAGGAAAGAATCTAAGTCAAGGATAAGGATAAGGAGTTAAGATTTTTCTTTACATTTCTAGAGAAGATGTAAACATTCAAATTTTTTGTTATTCATAATCCCTCACTGTCTCGTGAACTGGAAACATCATTCTGACTTTGTGATCAGCTTATTAGTTCCCAAAGCCTACTGTCTGGTACATCGATGCTGTTCATTTAAATAGACACCGTCTCTAGTTGATTGTTCCAATTATACCAAGCTGTGAACTCAGAGACACATTTTCTATAGTACAGATATATCAGGTCATTGGCAATAACTATGAGTCAGTCAACTTGAATCACAAGGCCTTAGAAACTGGAAATCAGATTTTCCTTATTTCATCTACAGAAATACATATAAGACCAAAGGCCAGGGGGTAGATGATACAAAACGAAGTAAATGATAAAAACATTGCAAAGAAATAGAACTAATTATCATATTGCACCAACCTGTTACTCAGATATTGCAAAATAAGATTGATTACTCTGTCGGGTAAGTAACCACCAACACGAATTATGTTCAATAAATTTAGGTGGCATTCCAAAATTTTTCCTGCATAACTTCTCTGGAACATTTGTGCAAAAGCTTTGTTATCTGGGTTTTGAAGTTTCGAGTCTCCAAAGCTGAGATAAAGCAAAGACAGAAAACGGAAAGTCAGAGTCAGAGTCATATTTGGCCAAAGTATGCACCTAAAAAGAACAGAATCCAGTAGATGTCCATTAAACCTACCGCGTATAAAGGCGGTTTAATATGTGGACAATCCACTTCTTCACCTTCCACCATCCCCATGATTTCCTCAGGTCTGGATCAGCTGGTTGGCCTTCTAATGGGACAGGCCTCTCCAATATATTCAAGAAAAGAACCATCCACGCATTAAACACAGTTGAATTAAACAACTGCTTTGGAATCTCCAACTGAAAGTCACAGAATAACAATTATAATAAGTTTAACACAAGAAATACTTTATTTTGCAGGAACCAGATTTACAAACTTATTTTGAGCTGGCAGCAAAAAATTGAGTGAAATTTTCAAGAATAATTATTAGTTATGTGGTGAGTGTGTCAATGAAATATGATTCTTGAAGAGATGAAAACCCAAGAGTATTAACCATCAAAAACTGAGTTGCAAAAAATAATAATAATAATGTATGACAATTAGTTGCATTTAAGGTTTTATCAAAAAAAGACTGACAATGAGGCAAAGCTTGCAATAGCACGGAATTCTTTTCTGGTAAAATTGTTCATTTCTTTATGAATTTCATGAAAAACAAACTGCAGTAGTAAGATACTGTATGCTGCTCAATATAACCC